GGTATGCATTTTTTGGGGCGAAAACTGCTGTCCTTTGAGGGGTCTTGCATACGACCCAAGGCCTTGGGGGGCGCGGAAAAAATCAGTGCGTGCCAGCTAGCGCTTCATGGAAGCAGGGAATTAGTCGACCTGGTTTATTTTTGTCGTAGATTGGCGTATGTCAGTCGGCGGGTGAAATTCTTTTCTCGTTGGCGCTTGCGCGCCCTCTCCAAAGCTGCTATGCTGAAGTTCTGTACACTTGCGCAATGCGAGCCCTTGCGTATACATTCCTTATCGTGCCTTGTCCAGCAGACAGATCAAAGCAGGCTCGACCGGGTTCCAGCCGTGTGCGTCAGAGCTGTTTTGGGAATGTCAGGCGCCTGCAGCGTATGGCATTGGCTTCAAGCTGCATCACACCGCATTGCCTTTCTTGGTCAGCCGCCCTGGCATGTTTATCGTCAGAATGTCACCTCACTTGAGCAACATGCCATGGCGTACGGGCTGCTCAGTTTATCCACTCGCTTGCTTTCACTGAGCTGCAAGGCCTAGTCCTGCTCTCACTTCTAGGCTGGATGGGGAAAATTTGACGATAGCACGGCGTTTCATGGCTAGCGGGGCCTGGAGTTTAGCACCATCATATCCCACAATGTCAAACAGTATAGGGCCGTGTTCCCTGTGCAGGTGCTGTTGCGTCAAGCGCCTCAGCTAAACTCTTGCATTTTCTGATTGATGCGGGCTACTTGATGAAAGACGTGTGGTTTTCTGTCGACAATAGGACGGTGATTGCGCTGGCTGGTTTTAGAAGAGTTGCAGGCTCCAAGTAGCACAACACATCCGCCATGCTTACAACTTGAAGTCGGCCGCGGGTGAAGGGTGGCAAAACACAGGCAACTGCAAGTGATTTGAGAGTGTGAAGCTCGCCCGTGCATCGCATTGCAACGCTGTCTGCCAAGAAGCGAGAGCAGAAGCAGTGACTTCAGGTTTGCTGGTAGTCGAGACCCGGGGACGGCCCCTGGACAATGAAGTGCAAGTTGCGACTGAGCTGCCGGAGATGAGGCCTTAAAAGGCCAAATAAGGCTTCCGCTTGCACCCGCGCCCTCCTATCAAGCTATCAAGCAGGCCTCCAGCATGTCAAAGTGCCGGGTAGTTATTTGATGCAATGAAATCACTAGACATACATTGAGACTTCGAGATGTATTGGGAAAGGACCATCCGCTAATTAATTGGAATGTCATTGTCTTCCTTGCGCTTCGGTGGTTGGGTGCACAATCCCAGTCTGTGATGTTGGTCAGGTCTTGTTCCGTTTCCTGACATTGGAAAGGTGATGAAAGGTGGTCATGTATGGGAAGTAGAATACCAATGCAAGTATTGTAGCCACTGTCAGGAAGGCATCAGCATCCAAAATCCATTTGCGACAAGGACAGTAAATTGCTGAACTTGCTCGCACCCTAGTTTTCTCTGCTGTTCCCGAATGTTCTTGCAGCTCTAGCCATCTTCTTTGACATATTAGTGATGCCCACTGTGAGTGGACCCCCTCAATTTGCTCAGATTTTCTGGAACAGCGGATGGGTACACGCACGGGTGGCTTTCAAATCCCCCATTAGCAGTGTGCCAAAAGCTGAATTTCAGCAGTTTCCGCGTGGTGGGCCAACTGCCCGTGTTGCAAAAGGATCGTGAAGCTGCGATGAGCTAGGCGAGGTGTGCGCTTCTATGTGAAGGATAGTTGTAGGGGAACTCAATACCAGGAAGGGCTCCCCAGTCAGTTTGCTGCCCAGACATTTCAATTGATGAGAGGAGATGAGAAAATTCCGTGGCTGGTAATCAAGAAAATCAATTCAGCTCATGCTGGCTGACTTAGGTCTACTGACAGCAGGAGCCCCAGCCTGCTCATACAAGACTCATTCGGACGTATCCCAATAAGTGCCTCAGGCAATGTGCCCTCTGAATGTATGCCCTGATGTCAAACTCCATCAGTGTAATACACCTAAGCTATGCCTGGTCTGGCATTTGTGCCCCAAGCCGAGACTGCCAGTGCGGTTTGAGATTGACAGCATGCTGAGGAGGAGAATGTGGGGTCATCGGGGTCTCTGTGGCCACGAAGAAGCCGTTGCGTGCGGGCACCTCAGCTGCTACGCTTGCCTGCCAGCGAGTGGTAAAACAGCTCCAAGACCTCATGGTGTCACTGATCTATTGCTAATTTAGCCTTTCTGTTACACCATGCCCCAAATTCCAGTGAGATGAGAATGTGGTTGAATGTTCTTACTGGCAGCAAAAAATCGTGTTTGGGAGGGGAACGAGCTGCCATTGTGAATGGCTAGAAGCCATTGGAACGTTTGAAGCTGGCAGGGTGCAAGGTTGCGTGATGACAACTGCAAGAAAACAGGATTGATTTTACTTCGTGTTTGAAAGAGAGAAGGATTCGGCCGCAATTGTTTTTGACTTTTGCAGGGTCCCAACCTTGAGGGATTGTAGGCAAGCCTAGGCTGCACAACTTTGAACTTGGGATTCATTGTTAAAGGTATCCAACCGCCAAACGTGCCGTGGTTGGGGTAAAGATCCCACATTTGGCTTAAAGGCTTGAGCTAAGTTCACCCCGAAACTACATAATCTGTAATGTTGCATTGCATGGCCAAACGCGGCTGATTTGTGCCTGCGAAGGAATGTCCAAAACCCCACTGCATCCGACTGCTTCGCTTTGGTGAAGCGTTGCAGCCAAAATCAAAGACCTGCGCGCCTCCGAAACGAACACTGTTGCACAAAAAAAGAGATTGGTTTTCATTTGATTGCCCAAGCCTATCCGAAATATCCGAATGGCAGTGCACTAGTACAACAACAAGAACAACAACAGCAACAACAACAACAACACCTGCTGCTACTACTCTTGCTGCTGCTGCTACTACTACTACTACTACTAAAGTACGACTGTTCTCCAGTCTTGCCAAACAACATCATGTTGCTCATCTGCCGGCCTGCTCAGCTCTGCTGTAAATTGTACCGTCGGAGTTACGTCCCGAGCCAACTCGGGAGCCATTTCCGGAACCTAGTCCGGGACCCATTCCAGAACCGGATCCGGAATCTATTCCCGCACTGCGAAACCCGCGCCGACAATCGCGCCGAACACCAGACCCCGGCCGTTTTGGGAGCCAAAAGTCCAGGGCGGGAGATCCGCTCATGGAGAAAACTCAACCAGCTTTGTTGTGTGTCAAGGCACATAAGATGCATGTATATTGATGCTGGCATTTTGCAAGACCCCATTGCTTGTGAAGATCCTGTCCGAAGCCCGACCACAGCCACCATTAATCCGCACAAACCCTTCAGAGGGGCACTACCAAGCCAAAGCACTTTCAACATCTGCTCTGAACTGATCTGGGGCTTGTGGTAGATTTCGGCCGAAAGAGAAGCTTCATAAACACAATTTCATGCAAATGCCTGTAATTGTCCGGATCTTCTAGTTGTGTGAAGCGCAACGGCGCAGTTAGATCGCTATGATGGTCAGCTGTTCCTCCCAAATACTAGTTCCAAGGTGGCTCTGCAAAACTCCATACCCTCCTGCACCACGACTGTGGAGCCTGCAGCTTGGCGTCTGCTGAAATCTGCCTTAGCGCGTGCTATTCAGAGGAAATGAGGCCTTCAGTCGGAAAGGATGTACCCAAAGTGCCATTTGTTTGTTCCGCGATACATGCTACAACAAGGATCGGGCGCACATGCAATTCTGATTTTTGTGCTGCCGCTTCGTTGTGAAGCAGCATTCTGGAGGTTTGACATAAGACGTGTTTGAGCAACGATCTCCAGGTTGTCCCACTCGGGGCAGCTTGATCCAGAAATGCATGGTTCACAGGAGCTTACGTGGTCATGCCTTGTCATGCCAACTGGAGTTAGAGAGCCAAAGTGTCGTTGGAAAGCAGGACATTGTTTCCATCATGACGGCAGTGGACCTGAAGGAGACCTGCCAGAGGGGCCAGACCAGGGATTATCGAGACCCACGCAGGCTCCAAGGTACACGGCAGCGGGTGTTGAAAGCGGTGTGGTGATGACCTTTCAGTCCAGAAAAGGACCTGAATCACAAACAAATCTTACTGATGTTGTGCATGCATGAAATAATCAAGGCATTTTCCGATCATTTCCGTTGTGACACCAATTTCCATGCGTCTGGTGCTGTTTGCTGAAGCAAAAGGACCTATCTGGGATGTCCGTGTGAAGCTGAGCGTATTTTTTGCTCACTAAGCAAGCTACAGCTTGTCGAGTCCAAGCCAGTCCAACAGGTGTTGATGCACGCGGCGCGGGCTGGAAATCTGCCAGCCACAGCAGCGCTCCTGGCCGCCAAGGCAAATGGGTAGGTGCCACATGCATTGGCAAACCAAATCGTCGAACACATGTGCAGGATTTTGCTTGCATGTGCTTGCATGTACCCCTTGGTTTGCATACATGTACAATGTACAACGTACACCCACATAATTTACAAGTTTTGTACCTGCAGCCCTCACTACACTCAGCACCGTTTCAAGGGGACCTCCCAAAACTCGACACACCTTGAGGCATACGTTCATGTCTGGAGCTTATCGTCAAGCGATGGCATGGACAGCACTTGTCATGTTAAGCGGCTGCTCTGGTTCTGACACACAACTGCTGACTTGGTGACGCCTGGCATGATGAGGCCCGAGATTCAAATCTTTGCCAGGAACTGAGGAGCTGGCATTGTCAGCAGCGAAGCGAAAGCGAGAGCTGCTGTTGATTCTGCTTTTGTAATGGACCGCTGCGCCTCACAAATGCCCAAGTGCCTGCAAGGAGCCTTTCCCATTGACCCAAGCATGCTCCAGCTCAGGCACTGCCCTTCACTATGCCTCTCACGAAGGCCATGTGGAGGACTGCCAGAGCATGCGCTGGGTTGTCAATGGTGGTCATGGGTACACTCCAGCACCCCAGATATCTATCAGTCTGTGATCCTTGAATGCCTGCTGTGTGAAGATTGCATGGTTTCGCAGGAGCTGCACCCTTTTTCAATTTCTTCACTCATCGCTTATGTCACTCGCTCACTTGCAGGTTGCTGAAGCTCTGCTGGCGTCTGGAGGGAGCCCCTTCGCACGGAACTGCTTGGGAGCGAGCCCAAGAAGAAGGGCAGGGAAGGGTGTGGACATTATCGAAGAACATTGTTGTAGCACAAAAGGTTCTGCATTCTTGAGGTCACCGTGCTAAAGCACTGTAGTCAGCCAGCCAACCTGCACTGCAGGCGTCACGCCACGCGACGTGGCACAGCTCAGGTTGGGCGGAGCGTCACAAGCAGCATGTCGGGCAAACGTAACATTTTGTACGGCCATGGCACATGGGACAGCAGCTTGCACCATTGTCGTGCTTCCAGATGCGATCATTATCAATGCCACATCTAGGGATTGGGCAGATTGCAGTTTGAAGCTCTCTGAAGCCTGGTGCTGCAAGGTGGGCGACGAAAATACCTGGCCAGGGAGAAGCCTTTGAGATGGACACGCCTTCTGGCCAAGGTGACACAGTTGCAATGTGGTGAGACCTCGGGACCCATGTTTGCCAAGCTTGCTTCTCTACCTGCCAAAACTGCCCAGCGCACTCGATCGATCAAGGTGTAGAGCGCGGCAGGCGAATCCTTGAAGCTTTCAAAACCTGGCGCCGACCAGATGGCAAGAAGTGAACGGCATCTCTCCGACCTCTCCTCCGTCAACAGACCGGCGCGGCTTCGGTTTACTGCACAGAGCCCACCAAGCAGCAAGTAGAAGCAGCGTTGAAGTCCGTGCTGGCACGAACCTGGCCCAAGGGATCCGAATGGCGTGGAGAGCGACTTCCGTGCAATGACGGCTGTGCCATGCGGTCTCTGTTTTTCGGCTTGCGTCAGGGCAATCTTCGCCACGCTTCAGATTTCTTTCGCAGCATGTGGTAGGCGAGTGCCTTGCTGATCTCGCAATGTCAGCCTCAGATCTTCCAGATCACAGGCAGACTCAGAGTGATTTACAGCCACGTGGCTGCTATCGCGGACTGATGCTGATGGCCGCGACTGTGACATTCGGGAGCCTGGGTATCACAATCGCAGAACTGGAAGAGGTGAGACACCCGAAAGCGTGAGGCTAAAAGCCCGCTGTACATATGTTCAGTAGGCTGATGGTAGCGACAGCACTTTCGTACATGGAATGGGAGTACTGTACAACAATTATTTGTGTAAAGTGCAGTTTGTGGAAACAGCTGGCCACAGGGTGAGGCACAAGGCCTACGAAGAAAATATCTTTCAGCTGGGAGTGAAAACCTTGTGAATGCAAATGTGAGGCTTTTTCAATCACAGTGCCGACAAGCCACATAGGCAACGTGAAATCCATGCCAGACGTGCAGTATGAGCGGCCCTCTGTACTGATGCATTTGCGATGTGATGGGCCAGCAATCCCCAGATGATGTGGTGTCAAAGTTTTTCGAAGGTAAGATCCCTGTTCGACTTCGGCGTTGCACATACTCTTTGCGGCATGTTTCGTATCTTCTCGGCCCAAGGATCTCATGGTTCCTAGGGTTTGTGGTTTGGCAGACGCATAGACATTTCTTGGTGACTGGGAGATACTGGGAGCGTCTTTGATCCGCCTGGCAGTCAGACAGAACGCTGCCCAGCGGTGAGGAGAACTTGTTGCGCATGGACCTGTAACGGCATGTGCGGCTTCTGGATTCTCTGTATTAGGTGCTCTATCTTCACAGCTTTGGTTTGGCTGAGCGTGTCTGAGCGCGTGTACAGACCTGCGGACTCAGTCAATGAGGATACTGAGGATGGCTGGCGTGCAGATTCCTGTGTGGCATCACGCATCCTGGTTCCACACTCAAATTCGTCAGCTTCTCGCACCATCAAACTGTTTGAAGCATTCCAGCTTTCCGCTGACAATCAAGTGAGCTGGCTCATGGATGGATCCCACGTGGCAAGTGGGAGCCAAGGTGGGGTAACGTATTGGAGGTTGGCTGGCACAATCAGGGTTTAGAATTTAGTGTGTGGAAGTGATTGTGTCCATTGGGTTGGTAGTTGTTGGGACCTTTCGCATACATGATCAGGTTTGATCCCGAGCACGGCTGGCAAGATGTGTTATACCTGGAGGCAGCATGGCTGGGCTTTTCAGAAGATGGACAACACATGGCCGTCATAGGAGAAGGCAATCGTGTTTATATGTGGAACATGAGTAAAGGCGCTGAGGTGAGGGAGTACCAGGTGATGCCTGGTTTGGTGGCCAATGGATTGGGTGCCACAGCCGTGTGGTCTCCCGACGGGCAACAGTTCGCCTACTATAGTGACTACATGTATGATACATTGCTTTGGCATCGGAATATCTCAGGTTTATGGGAAACATACCAGGTCCTGGAAGAGGTGGACTCCATTTGCTGGAGCTTGGATGGAAGACTCCTTGCAACGACACTTTACGACGCTGTAATCCTTTGGACCCGTAAGGATGGCCAGTACCACCAGAGACAGGTCCTGAATGTAACCAACCAGTCTAAGTGCGACCCGCTTGCTTTCTCACCTGATGGAATGTACCTCGCCGGCTTGGTGAGTTATATAAACAACACGAGGGCGCTCCATGTTTGGCACCAGCTCAACGGCGCGTGGTCAGGGAGTTGGGTCTTGATGCTCTCAGTGGAACGTTCGGCTGTTTTCAAGTGGCATCCTGATAGCCAGCGGCTGGCCATTTCTACAGACGGGCTCCCCAGCTGAAGTGTTTCATGGGAAGACACATTCAAAAGCCAACTTAGTGTTGGATCTTGATTAGCGTGGGGAGACACCCCCACCATCCCCGCCCCCAACCAAAAAGGGGAACATCTATAACACAAAATCATCAAAGTGAAGTGGGAGTCCGGAGGATCCTATGGCTCTTCTTGAAATTAATAAGAGAAAGTAGATCCTTCGGCTTTTGATTGAATTCGCAAGGACCTGTCATTTTAGCTTTCAAGAGAATAGGAAGGGCAGGGTCTCGACCTTGGTGTTAAAAGGCCTGGCCTTGAACGCCCATTAAAAAGCAGGTGCAGCCTGATGAAAGTCATAGAAAATTTATCTGAAAAATTGGAATCAACTAGAAATCGAAGTAAAAACCAATTGCAATGGCCTCGCAATTAACCCGGCCACATTTACGCCCCCCAATCTTTTATATTGTTGAGCATCAGGGGTCTGCTCGGCTACGCCTTTGGAATTTGATTGCCTAGCCTGTTCAAATAAGCAGCTTAAGAAGAAATCTTTGGTTTTGGTGGCATCAGAGTCCATTCCACAGGTAATTGAGCCTGGCCCGTTGTTTAAAGCCCAGGCCTTTTAAATCTAATAGTTTTTTGATCCGACAATTAACCCGGCCAACAAACCTTTTCATATTGACCCCCAAATCATTTCTGTTCTTGAGGATCAGGGGCTTTGCTGGACTCCCCCTTTGGAATTTGATTGCCTAGCCTGTTCGACTGCAGGTCTTTAATAGATGGATTGATTTTGGTGGCATCAAACTCCAGATTCCACAGGTAATAGAGCCTGTCCTTTTCACGTAAAGGCCTGGCTTCAAAACCAAAAGCATTTTGGCCTCATCAAAACCTGGGGCACTCCCCCCCCAATCGAGTAGGGCGAGCCATACACAATCCTCAGATGGCTGAACTGGCTGTTTTCTTAGTATACTCTGGCAGGCCCATCCGCATTTGGCAGATGACGACACCCAGTGAGTGGAAACCCACGCAGATCCTGACAAGCGGGGGTTACAACGACCCCCCGGTGGAGACAATTTCATGGTCCCGGGATGGCCAGCACCTAATAGCTGAAGATGACAGCGCACTGCGAGTTTGGAGCATTTTTAGAACGGGCGGATGGCAGACGAATCGCAGCTTGCAGCTTCTAGCAGATCAGGGGAGGGTGAGGTGGTCTCAGTGGCGCCTTGCTGCAAATGGAACAGCTGCCATAAGGAGCCGACATTCATCGCAAGGAGAAGTACAGCACTGGAGCATGGGCGTCAGCAGCGCCGGAGTCCACTCAGTGAAGCGAAATGAGAAAATCTTTGGTCACGGCGTCTCCTGCAGCGGCCTGCGGCTACTCACAGCAACACGGGCTTCATTCCAGATGTGGCAGTTGAACTCCACTATAGGAGCAGCAGGCCAGTGGCAGCCAGAGGGCCGAGCTCTTAAAATTGTTTGCAACTACGGAAACGGCTTCCTTCCAATTCAGTGGTCTGCAGACGACTCACATGTTGCAATTGGATGCACGACTCGGCTTTTTGTGTGGAAGCCCACGGCACGCAAAAAGGAGTTCGAGAAGCTACAAGTGCAAGGTCTTCACCGCGGTAAGGCGGTCATTGCCTGCCTTGCTTGGTCACCAGACTCCAGTCGTATTGCCTTCGGCTTGGATGGTGCAGTGGGCGTTTGGCAGCGGAAAAGCAACGAAAAGCTGAGGGAGCTCCGAGGCCACGATGATTTCGTTTGCAGCCTGGCCTGGTCTCCTGATGGCCAACTCCTCGCAAGTGCCAGCCGGGACAGCATCAGAGTCTGGAGTTGGAACATGACTGGTGGCAGCTTCCAGCAGCAGGCTTGGTTCCAGGTCACACAATGCTCGAACTCAAGCGGCTACAGAATTTCGCGGTGTGATTCAAGCCCCAAAATCTCCTGGGCCGGTGACAGCAGCTACCTCGTGACTTCAGCCTGCGACACTGCTCTGCGGTTTCATGATGCAAGGGCTGGCTTCCGGGTGGAGTTCAGGCTGCCGATGGAAGGGGAAGTTCAGGATGTGGAATGGTCTCCTGATTTGTCTAAGCTGCATGTCATATTACAAGGCAGCCGCAGCTATAAATTCAAATCGTTCTCTTTGCCTCCCAGCGGCTCTATTCTCGCAGCCTTGGGGTTTCACTTCCCGACGGCTGCGCCCGGGGATTGGACGACCCAGCTGTGCTCCTCACCGCAGGTGCGCTGCAGCAAAACCCCCGGCCGGTATGACCTCCACCTCTCGCTGAGCGCTGCACAGCTCGAGTGGGATTCGCTGGTTTGTGGTGTTAGCAGCCGGCGTGTCGGTGCGGATTGGGTTTACATCAAGAGCCTGGAGATCCACAACTGGTCTGCAGCTTTGGAAGTGCTTGGACTGCCCCAGTCTTGCACAAGGCTTTGCGAGCTGCTCTCCGAGTTCATGCATTTGGAGACACTTCTCCTGCAGGGGCCTTTGGTGCGTGGGTTTTGGATGTGTGGGCTCTTGACTCCTACGTTAAAGCACCCAAGCTGACAATTTGCAGCCTTTCCATGATCCTTATCTTCCCTGCTTGAGGCCCTGATTGTAAACGCAAAGCCCAGTGCAGGCAGCTCACCATCGCCAACGCTGCGCAGATGCAGATCCCAGCAGCTGGACTCCAGATACTCCTCGAGGCGGCCCCAAGACTTGAAACCCTGAACTTTTCTGGTACGCCAGTGCCCTTCCTGGATGGGATGCCTCCTCTCACTTTGCAGCGGGCGATCTTTCGGAACTCAGGCGTGCAGGTGGGGAGCTTGATAAAGCTAGGCACAGAAGCGATAGCACACGCAGTAAGCAGGTTTCTTGAGGATGCTTAGAGTGAGACTGCTGAATGTGGGTGGAGTCCAGGAGATCAGACTGCCCAGAAGCGGTGAATCCTCCTGGTGGTCTTCTGCCAGAGAGATTGATCTCCGTGGGAGTTCCCAGCTTTTGCTCCCATTCCCAGTTCTACATGAAGGCCACTGCCAGGCCTTCTCCAGAAGAGCGTGCAGCCATTTGATCCCGCAGCCTTGTAGCAACTGTCCCGGCACAGGACTTGCCGATTGACCAGGAGAAGCTGGCCCTCTGAGTCTTGGACGGAAATCAGCTTTTGGATGGGTTCTTTCACTGATTTGCAGAGCATGAAGTCCCAATGTTCCTTCTGCAGATGAGGTCTTGAAATCGTCAGCTTGCCGAGCTTGGAGGGTGCTGTTGCGGAGGGCATTCGCTTGCAAGCATTCTTGAAGGACGATCTGCCTCGACCGTTGCATTCGATGTGTGGTCTGACATACATTTTGCCTGCATTCGATCACAGGACAGAAACGCCTCCACTGCTGGTGCAACGCTTTTGCTCGACCACTCCCGCGTCTGCCACCCTGGCTACTTGGCACTCGCAGGCTGTAGGCATTTGAGGTAGGGGTTGTGTTTTTGTTTTGCTTAGCACAGGTTGGTGAGCGCAAATAGGGTGTCCTCTCGCGACAAAATTCTTATTCCGGGAAGCGGCCGCATCTTAGAGAGCATCGGTGTTGGGCTTCCCCTATCGGTAAACAGGGTTGGCGTGAAATTCTGTAAGCCATGGCCGCAAGACTAGTTCCTTGCATGGAGATTAACGCTTGTGGCTCGTGCTTGTGAGGGGGCTGGCAGCTCTTACTGGAAGCTGAAGCGTTGTGACGGATGGCTTAGGTCAAGTGTGGCGTCTGGGTTCTGATGGTACTGGATCATGCCAGAGGCACCGCTTGTAGATGTTGGCAGCAAGTCTTGGAGCTTGGAAGTGTGGCCTGGCGTACATGATGGCCTAAGGTGCCCCAAGGGCCATTTCAACGTCAACTTCTCCGTGAGCCATCTCTTTGACTGCACGAGGTGTGAGACTAATGAAATTACTTTGTCCAGCAGCCATCTTTCTTCCTCTGACGATTGCATCTGCGACACAGGCCGGTTGGGAAGAAGAACAATCATCCACGCAGTTTTGTCACGATGCTATTGCGATGCGCAGGTTATGTGATGGTGCCAAAAGATGGCTGCCGAGCTTGCAGTGAAGTTGATGGTGGACAGAACTTCAACTGTTCAGCACCAGGCCGAGTGCCCTCTGAGATTCTGCAATCAGTTCGCTGAGCAGCATAGGTCTGTGCCTCTCTCCACTGGCGATGTCAAACTGCCTGTGCCAGGCCTCAGGCTGGACACCGCACCTGTGAAGGACCATGACTCTCACTGCCGTTGTCACAGCCACTAGCACATTTGCTTCGCAAAGTTTGCAGCTCCCAGGATGGCTATTGGCGAGATGAAGCCCATCCGGGAGTCCCGCTGAAGTGTGCCGTGGGCAGACAGCAGAGTGGCTGCATGAGCGCTTCGCCAGGCGCGAAGCACCAACTTCATGATGCCCCTGTAAGGGATGGTAGCCCTTGATTCGGGCATCGCCCGAAAACCCCATGTGGAAGTTTTCTATAAAACGACCACGGCTGGCTTAAAAGGCTTTCCGCGAAAGGTCGCGATGGTGCTCGCAAAAGAAATTTTGGATTTTGCGTAAGAAGCATCGTAAGCTATAGCTCCTCTACTTAATTCTAGAAAACATCTTCTTGCAGTCCACAGGCATGCTTCCGGGCATGCTCACATGTGAAAGGGTAGCAAGTCTCTCTGAGGCACAGGCTCAGCCTCAGAATTCTTACCTGAAAATCTGCTAAAGATCTGCGAAAGATCCGCGAAAGGTCGGGTAGGCCAAGCAAGCCCCCAGCAAACCATGGGAGGCGACATAGCTTCTGCTTTGCGGTCTTACAGGTTCGGTTTTGGAGTTGAGGGTATGGGTCAAGAGTT